ATATATAAATTTCTGGGATGATGAGTTATCATTATTTACACTATTTAAATGCGGACTATTATCCTGATCTCTTATTATTATCGGTTCTGTGATGATAGCCTAGTGGATTTGTGATATCGTAATTGTGAGTTCAATCCGTGGACTGGGCAGTGTCTACTTGGACACAAGGGAAAAGTGCTAGCCGTATTCCATGCGTGAGGGGTAAGTCCCACACGAACACTTCTTCCCATAAACCACTCGTGGAACCGGCTCCCAAGAGGTTGCTTCCCCAATCATTACAATCTTAACCTTTTCAAATCTAGGATTAACCGTTTTCTCCCCCACATATCCCCATAAACTATGCTTGGTACCTCTTAGCCCCTAGTTCATTGATACTTTTATAAAATTGTGAATAAGGAAACGTATTTTTATAGTTATTTATGAAATGGTAAAAAAAATTGCGTTCTAATTTTTTACATTTTTCGATAATTTATGAATTTTAAATAAGAAAGAATTCTTTTCAAATTTATTTCTTCATTAAATTTTCATTCATTTATTTCTTCATAAAATGGTAAACAATAAATCGTTATAAAAGCTATAGATACCGCGTGGTATACGGTGGCGTAATGAATAGCTGCTCTTATTGAGGAATCAGTGATCCGAGTTCGAATTCCAGTTGAATCCATTACATTCACTTACATGCTAATACTTTTGGGAAAGGTGTGAATCCTCCTCTTCTCCCCCCTCTCCCAGGACAGACCGGGTTTTATAGCCTTAGATGGCAACTGGTCTACCGCAGAAATAAATCGTTTAAGCGTGTATCACGTATGGCACATAACTGACTGACTTGCTTCACATGTTTTTATAACTATGTAGATTCACTAAAAAATTAGCATATGTAATAAAAATAATGCTCCCAACTTAATAAAAACAAAGTTTTATTGCCAAAAACTTTATGTCATCATTAAGAGGTGGTGTAATGGTTAACAAGCTTGTCTCACTATAACAATTACGACTGAGCAGTGTATTCGATCCTCACTGGGTGCCCCACACTTTCGGCCTTGTGCCACATCTAAGATACGCTTGGAAAATCACTATGTCATCATTAAGAGCAAATGTTTTTTGATTATTAAATTATATTTTAATCCTTTTTAGAACATTCGAAATTTTATTTATTCATTTTTTTTTTTTTGTTTTTCTTGCGTCAACAGGTGACTATAAATTTGTATGGAAAATTTAAGCGTCTTTTTGCGATGAAAAATCATTGAATTGGAAATTTTTGCAAAAATTATATAATTGCCAAATTTAAATGAAACTTTCAGGACTTATTCACAAATAAATTAAATTATTTGAGAAATGTTTCTTTTTTAAAAATTTTGTTAAAATATTACCGCCACCACCTATTTAAGTTTATGAAATTTCGAAAAATTCTGTTTTGTAGCGCTTAATGTTTATATTAGTTATAAGGACAAGTCCTTGGAGAATTTAAATCATCAACTTTTTTCGTCAAACAAGATCCCCATTTCCAGAAAATCTGCTCTGATTAAGTATTTTACAGTTTTTTTCCCAGTTATTTAAAAATGCCAAACATTACGTTATCAATAAATCTGTCAACTCCCATCTTCTTATTAAAAATACTTTTCTGCGATAATTTTAAACAAAAAGTTATAATATTTGTCTTAATTCAAATTAATTAAACTTTAAATCGTTTAATATTCCTCAAAGAAATTTTCAGAAATTTATGTTTTATTACTCAAAGATATTTTAATAAAGATAATTATGTTGTGTTGATAGATTTGTCAATATTGCCAATTTTAAAAATTTAAAAGAAAAAAATATTCCAATCAATTAAAATTCGGTTAATAATGCAGCAAAATATTTCGCTTATTGGGAATATTAAATTGAATCTATTAGCTTGAAATTAAAACTAAAATAAAAGCTTCAAGAAACATTTTTCATTTTTAAAATGCATTTTAAAACTCGGGTATCGTTTTTTCCCCCCTTTTTTGAGTTACCTATTGTAAATAAACATTGTTGATGGAGTCAGTAGTGTATCTATTAATAGCGATGTCAAAGGAATAACGTTCTTTTTGACACCTCGTTTGTTTGTTTGTTATTGGCGGGTACGAAGGTTAAACATTACCCTTGAGAAAAACTGTTAACTTCGAATAATTATAATATACACGTTCTCAATACTAAGTTGTTTTAGGTTTCAAAACTTATTACTCGTATGAAAATAACTGGACAAATCATCATGATCATCATCATCAACACCACCACCACCACCATCATCATCATCGTCATCATCATCATCATCATCATCGTCATCATCGCTAACACCACCATCTTCATTATTATCATCATCGTCGTCACCACCTCCAGCATTATCATCATCATCACCACCTCCACCATTATCATCATCACCATCACCAACATCGCCATAATCACACCATCAACACCACCACTACCCTCTATATCATTATCAAGGCCACCACTACAATTATCATTATCATCATTGTCACCACCATTATCATCCTCATCATCACTATCATCCTCATCACCACCACCACTACCATCACCATAATCCTCATCATTACCACCACCTTCGTCATCACCATCATCATCATCATTATCATAATCCCCACCACCACCATTATCATCCTCATCATCACTATCATCCTCATCACTACCACCACTACCATCACCATAATCCTCATCATTACCACCACCTTCATCATCACCATCATCATCATTATCATTATCATAATCCCCACCAGCACCACCATCATTATCATCAGCCCCATGACCTGGTCTAGTCGCAGGAAGGATCACAGCGCAGCTGAGCGCCTGACCAATTCCTCCCCACTCATATCTGGTTTGAAAACAGGAACGGCATTCACCCCTGCGTGGCGTTTATTTTTCTCACGAAAACAAACCTGGCGTAGCCCATCCCTCTCCACATCAAGCCACAGTCGATATCCTCCAATTTTAAGACTCGTCTTGGTCACAGTAACTATTTGAAAACGATTTAATTTAAATAATTAATTATTTACTTCAATAAAAGCCAGTCCCAAAAGCTTGTTTCACTGGAGCTTTGAATATTTACTGCAAAAAGCAATAGTGAATATTTTAGAAGTTTACAAGTAATGCCCAGTCTCGATTTATCCGAAGAAATCAATTAAAAATCGTTTATACGGATTTAATTATAGGAAAATTTAAAAATTTAATTCGATCTAAATTCTCATTTTTTAAAATATAGAAGATTTCGATGACAGGAAAGGAGAGGAAACAATGAACTATAAATTACATTTTTGACATCAGCGTCACAAAATTACTTAAGAACGACACACTTGAAATGAAGCACTTTATTGGAAATGAATAAAATGCTTCTGAAATGTTAAATAATTAATTTATATAGTTGAAATAGGCACCATGTTGATGAATGACTGTTCTCCAGCGTATCTCTAAATTCTTGACCCCATCTTTAAAAAAAATTGTCATCCTTTGATGTGATAAACAGTTCAAATGCATCGATTACCTCTTCCTTGTTGGAGAACGTTTTATTGTGTATGAAAAGCTCCAAATGATTAAATAAGTGATAATCTGTAGGAGAGATATCAGGTGAATATGGAGGATGAGGCAAAATTTCATAATTCGCGCCATGCAGCTTTTGGACAATTGATTTAGAAGCGTGCGCTCGTCCGTTGTCGTGCAGAAAAATTGGGTTATCCCTATTCACAAGTCTAGGATGTTTTGTTTCTTTTTTAATTTTTCGTGCATACACTCAATTCCTCTACAATACTAGGTTGCTGTTATTGTTTTTCTTTTTGGCAAGAATGAATTACCCCTTTGAAAGACCACCATACAGTAACCATTAACTATTTAGGATGAAGTGGAGGTTTTGGGTATTGTTTTGGCGATTCACTTGCATCTAGCCACTAGCCTACACTCTTACTGTTGTTAAAGCGTATCCATTTCTCATCGCATGTATTGAGTCGATGCAAAAGTCGTTCTTTTTCCCAATTTATACTCATCTAGTAAGATTAATAGACATTATTTCATTGTAATCATTTTCATTGGGGTTATGAGTAACAATATAGTGAAAGAAAAAAATATCCTGAAAGAAAAAGAGCCAAGAATAAGTCAAGATTTTTTTATATACTAAGGAAGTTACTTTGTTAGACGACCAAAAATATGTCATTTCATGTGTGATGACCTAATATAAACTAGAAAAACCTGTGAAATTGACAAGGTTTTTTTTTTATTCTAATATTGTGATGAATCTTAATTCTTAAGTTAATGACTGGATAATCTTATGACCAGAGCCAATACGACAATAAAATATCCCCCCCCTATCATATCGTTAAATATGAGTAACAATATAGTGAAAGAAAAAATATCTGGAAAAAAAAAGTGTCAGTAATAAATCAAGATGTTTTTTTATATTAAGGAGTTTACTTTGTTAGACGACAGGATAGACAACCAATCAAAAAATACGTCATTTCATGTGTGATAGCCTAATATAATGTTGTCCTGTGTAATTAATGTTAATTATAGAGTTCTCTTATTTATTTGAACAATTTGTCAAATAAAGGTAACCTATATTTTTTTCATTGATTCCTTTTAATGCTTAAAATTACGGATCCATTCTGGTTGCGTTAATCATATTCTAACTTTCTCCCGAAGGTGGATCCAACTGCTCCCGGGGTTTTCTAGTAAAGTATTTAGTATATGAAAAATCATTTATGAAATGCGAATAGACCAGGATCGTGTGCAGATCAAGTAAAGTATCAACAGCTCTCAAATTAAACGATCGACGGTTCAAGATGAGAATGAAATCAGCATAGACACAAAAATCACATTGACGAAGGCCACCAACGAAGCCAACATTGCCAATTGCCAAGTGTTGACAACATAGAAATACAAGAGAATCTCTAAGATTCTAATGAATTAACTTATTTTGTCAACAACAACCACTTGACCTCAGTAACGAAAAGGTATTGGATGATGAGGCCTTATCAATGTCGAGTCTCTTCCTGAACTTTACTATAGTTTAATGTCTCTAATTTCATTCGTTATCTCAATGCTCAGGAATTCCTCATTTTTCATTTTTATTCTTCATTTGTTTAGATATAAATTCTGTTTTCTTTTTTTTTTCTTTAAATACTTTTCATTTTTCTTAAGCCATTTCTGTGTTACTTGTTACTTGATTTTTTTTTTTTTCAATTGTCTGTTGCCCAAAATATTCGATTGGGTTATGGTTCCGCATTTGAAAGCGACTCAGCAGATACTTATACACGAATATACACTCATTTGTGCGCGCCAATAGAGGTGCACAAAACTCTCAGGAGTTCAGCCAAATATTGTGCTTTGTTATTCTTGCTTTGTATATTTAATTCTTCCTCTTTCCCTCGCTCTCTTCTTTCTATCTATCTATCTATCTATCTATCTATCTATCTATGTGTAATTCCTATCTATCTATCTATCTATCTATCTATCTATCTATCTATCTATCTATCTATCTGTTCATATTTATCTATCTGTTCAGATGTATGCATCTATTGGTCTCCCTCAGTACATATCAATCTATCTATTCCACAATCGGTCCCACTGTATTCATATCTATCTATCTATCTATCTATCTATCTATCTATCTATCTATCTATCTATCTATCTATCTGTTCACATCTATTCCACAATCAGTCCCACTATATTCGTATCTATCTATCTATCTATCTATCTATCTATCTATCTATCTATCTATCTCTCTCTCTCTCTCTCTATATATATATATATATATATATATATATATATATATATATATCAGTTCATATCTATTACACAATCGGTCCTACTGTATTCATATCTATCTATCTATCTATCTATCTATCTATCTATCAGTTCGTATCTATTCCCCAATCAGTCCCACTATATTCATCTCTCTCTCTCTCTCTCTATATATATATATATATATATATATATATATATATATCTGTATACATATCTATTATCATCAATCTGTCCCATATCTATTCATATCAATCTATCTATCTATATTGTTCATATCTATTCTAATCAGTCCCTATATATTCTATCTATCTATCTATCTATCTATCTCTCTCTCTCTCTATATATATATATATATATATATATATATATATATATATATATATATATATCAGTTCATATCTGTTACACAATCGGTCCCACTGTATTCATATCTATCTATCTATCTATCTATCTATCTATCTATCTATCTATCTATCAGTTCATATCTATTCCACAATCGGTTTCACTGTATTCGCATCTATCTATCTATCTATCTATCTATCTATCTATCTATCTATATGAATGGATAATTATCTAAACTCTTTACCCATCTTTTTAGCCACGTTTAAAATATTTTTCTTAAATTATTTGCGGTACCTTAGTGTTGGGAATGCAGCGAGCAACGAACTTACATCAGTCGTCTACTGGACTAGCTTGTTGGCCCGTTCTTTACCAACTGACACCCATCTTTATACTTCATTACTCTCTTTCAAAGACTTATGGCGTAATATTTAGTCTTGATTTCAAAGTTTTAAAAAAGCGTAATTTGTCAGTTTCTTTTGCTGTAAATACTCTCTTCTAAATTTGGTCATTTTCTCTTAAAAACTGTCGTTACAGTTTGTTTTTTTTTAATGCAACCACCTTTTTTTTTTTCGTTTTGTTTTTTTGTTAAGTTTCTTGTCTTACTGGAAGGGCAACAACAAAAAAAAAAGAGATTACGGCATTTTCCAAAGTCAAAGAATTCAGTTAAAATAATTAGAAAATGAATTTATTGCTTCGAAAATCAATGGAATAAGACTACAGAAATCGCTCATGAAAAATAAACGATCGTTTCTCGCCAGTTAACCTTTCAACAATCGGTCTCACTGTATTCGTATCTATCTATCTATCTATCTATCTATCTATCTATCTATGTATGTATGTATCTGTTCATATTTATCTATCTGTTTATATGTATGTATCTATCAGTCTACCACTATTCATATCTATCTATCTATCTATCTATGTGTATGTATCTGTTCATATTTATCTGTTTATATATATGTATCTATCAGTCTACCACTATTCATATCTATCTATCTATCTATCTATCTATCTATCTATCTATCTATCTATCTATGTGTATGTATCTGTTCATATTTATCTATCTGTTTATATGTATGTATCTATCAGTCTACCACTATTCATATCTATCTATCTATCTATCTATCTATCTATCTATCTATCTATCTATCTATCTATCTATCTATCTATCGTTTCTCGCCTGTTAACCTTTTACGCTAAAGCAGATCAACCCAAGAAAATAAATGATGGATATGTGACGGTTTATATTCCAGCTGAATCCATTGCGTTCACTTTTCAGTATTGCCCTTGAGAAAAGCAAGAACCGGTTTATTTATTTCTACTGGTATAGCGATTAGATTAACAGTGTAGATTGATCTCACTGGCCTTGATTGGCCAGTCTCGAAAAGGGATAACTAAATGAAAAACCAAAGAAAGGGGCAACAGTAAACAACCCCGCTATCTTTCCCAAAAAGTCACGGTAATTCGCAGATAATAAAGAAAAGGAATGCGTGGAGAGCCATAATCGCCTACGTCCAGTTAGGAAATGACATTTAACAGATATGCATATAAGACATTTCAGGAAACCCACAGCCTCCTTGTCCTTACAGATTCACATAAACTCAGATCAGATACGTTGCACGCTGTTTGCCTTTACCCTCTTCTTCCCTCAACACGACCTGTGAGTACAGTCCAACCTCGAATTAACGATGCAGGGGCCAACGGACTCCGAATTTAACGGACAAAATCCGCAGAAATGGTAGTGTCCGGCTGGAACTCAAAGCGCCTGCGCGTAGCGAGCAAAGTCCGTTAGTTCCAGAATTGGCCGCTGTTGTGTAAAGGTCCAATCAACAAACAGGGACTGGTAGTTCCGGAAATAGACACTGTTGTTTACTTTCATGGCTTCCAGGAATTACTAGATAGATAGATAGATAGATAGATAGATAGATAGATAGGTAAAAGTTTAATGGTCAGATTTGAATCAGACCAGGAAAAAGTGGTATTGAAAAGTGCTCAATACCCGTGTGAAAAAAATAAAGTACAAGTAAAAATAACACGTAGAGCTTTTAACTTTTTAATAAGTAGCGGATACAACTGAGCTCCTAATTTTAATCAGGGGGTCATTTATATCCGCTAACTTTTACTAAGAAAAAACTTGTTGTGTTCATCATTATTCTCAGATAAATCCTAGTGTTTATCTGAAAATTAATTTTTTACATGTGAAGTAACAAACGCTAAGTGTATGTACTGTACATTTTTTTTTAATTTTATCATGTAGACACACGTCCAAACGTCAAGGGAGTTAACTAAGTTACTGAAATGTTTAAAACCTTTTTTTTAAAGAAAAACTATTTAAAACTATTACTTAAAACCTATTTTAAACTATCTACTGTAAACATTTTAAAACATTTGTGAAGTATTCATATTTAATCTTATTAAAGTTTAGTTTCAATTTTTTTAATATAGATATCTCCAATAATTTTTAGTTTATGTTTATTATTTTCATGAAAAAGTATAGATATATTTCCAACAAGAATGTTCCTAATATGCCGAAGTAACTGCAATTGAATTCTTACATAGATAAACACCAGAATTAGAGAAATCATTTAGGTTATTTGTACTTGAGATCTAAGGTCATTCGAGGTCACCCGAGGTCCGAAAATGGCACCTCATGTCATTTCTAGCAAAATGAGGCAATTTCTAGCAAAATGGAGTGAGTTAATGTGATTTCGGGTGTCTGATATGTCTGAGGTCTCCAGTTACCAACATAGAGCATACCATGCCTTTGCACGAACAAAGAAATCAAATTTTAGCAAAATGGAGTGGGATATTAAGTTTGCTATGAAGTACAAAAATTTATTTGACCTGACAAACGAAACACTCGATAAACTCAAATTCGATCTTCAATGTCACAGTGAAGTAAATTTATGGCGTTCTGATCCGTGTTTCTTTTTAACAATTACATTCTACAAGATAAATTGACCGCCTTCTGACGCATCAATACATATTAAAACTTAATCGTGCTAAACGAATTCTGAATTATAAGATGCATTAAATCTATGGTTTTAATGTTAAAAACACAACTCATCTGGTTCAGATTTAAATCGGTTCATTGTGAGTTGTCCAGATTGTATCGCTTAAGAAGGGGCCGTGAAATATAGACAATGTTTGACTTAAAAGAAGTTATCTTTAAGGTTATCGAGATCCATGAATACATGTTCGCTTTTTAGTTAAAAAAAAACAAAAAAAAAAACAAAAAACGAAACACCTAAACTTTCATTTATATGAAAATACGGTGTAGATCAGGTTTTTAATTGATTTATTATGAAATCATGTGGAAGGCTATTTTTTTTAACATCCAAAACCGCCATTTTGTGAAAAAATTGTGAAGTGAGTTAGGATTTCAACGCCGAAAGATTTTTATATCCGTATTGGCTTCCTGTGGCTTAATGGTAATTCACACATTGTTTAAAAGATGATTGCTTCTTTTGATAAGTGTGGCTATAGGCGCAGTTTCTCTGTAAAAACATTTGTTCATCGATAAGGCTACCTTTTTTTTTCATTTTTTAAAAAATAAATTAGCATCATTCTGGATATTTAAACATTTAAAATTCGTCTATAACAATCAATTTTTTTTTCAAATTTTATTTATTGAATCGATGCAAAAATAAAACCGTCGGAAGGATGTGAAATTGGAAGGAAATAATAAGAAGTAACGCCATTTTTTTTTCTTCTCATTTATTCTTGAAGACATGACCTCTGGAAGAAAGGTGTTTTTTGGGGTTTTTTTGGGGGGCAAGGTTCATTTAAAGCACATAATCAAGCCTTTCTTCAATTGTGACGCTTCAGATAAGCTGGCAAGAATCAAGGATAAATAAATGATACCCTCTGTCAAGTGAAAACCGATCGTCACTTATTGGTGCTTTTAACTGCGTTGATTCACGCAGTGAGAAAGGATTAGCAAAATTCTTATCGTTTCTTTTCAGCCTTAAAATTTAAAAGGGACTTACTTAAATAAACTTATATATATATATATATATATATATATATATATATATATAAAGAAATACGCGGTCAATACACACAGATACATATATATATATATATATATATATATATATATATATAGAGAGAGAGAGAGAGAGATAGAGAATATTTAAATAATATAATGAAATGTTAGATTTAAATTTTTTATTGCTTCAATGATACAACATTTTAGTAAAAAACAAGTTTCATATTTGTTTGGATTTCATTGATTTGTATTTTACGGATTATCAATTTTTTGCAGTTTACTTAAAACTAGAAATATTTTTTTAGATTGTCAGAATGTATTTATTTAAGATAGTAATGGTTTAGTGATACAAGTCTTAATAATTAACCCATAGCTGGGGGAGAAGAGGTGGATTCATACCTTTCCCAATGGTATTTGCGCGTAAATGAATAAAACGAACTCAACTGGAATTGGAACTCGGCTCTCCGATAAACAATTCCGAGCCATTATATATTACACCAGCCGCACATCCAAGTTTGCATCACCTGGTACACCCAAGCGATTAGATATTTATTTGGAGACAATAATATAAAAAAAAAATAATAATGTAAAATAAATAAAAGACAGTAAAATAAGTATGATTACTGTATATACTCGTGTATAGATCGATTTCATGTACAGTACGACCCCTGAATCATTAGAATTAATTTTAATCTCCCCAGAAGAAATTTACCTGTATATTGTACAACTGATCATGCATGCTTTTTAACCTCTGCAAAAATATGTCCTTAGTATAATGTGACCCTGAAACTGATCATAAAACCTCGGATTATAGTCATGTATTTACAACTAGCAGCATGACCCGACGTTGCCCGGACTTGATTCAAAAATCGTACGACTCATATAGCAATCGCTATCACTTGACTTAAAATATTTTTGTCCTTTCTTACCTTTAAAGGAGTGCCCTATGCCGTGCTGATGTTGCTACATGCCTTACTTCTTGCCTATCTCACACTGCGAATTTTTTCTAAGTTCTATACTAAACATTAAATCTGTTACGAAAAAAGAACTAAACAAAATGAACACAAAATGATCAGCTTTAAAAAAGGACTCGTAACTGGAAAAACCGAATGAAAAAAAGAATGTTAACAACAAATACTTTTTCACACCCAACCCAGTTTTGCGGAATCAGAATCAACGTTGAGTTTAAGCAAGCGAATGAGCCAATTGGAGTAAAGTGCCATGCAGA